GAGTATTATTTTTCTAGATCCCAATAATCGATATTCCGACATACGGAAACCTGGCTGCGGTACTCATGTGTGAAAGATTCAAAATAGAATCTCAGTACGAAAAGGAGAAATTGGAGGAAGCGAAAAAGGAAGTTTATCTAAAGGGCTTTTATGACGGGGTTTGTTTTAACTTTAATTTTTTTCTTCATGCTCAAAAACGCATGGTGTTTTATTTCAAGTTCCGCTGTCTTTTAGGTCATGTTAGTAGGTGATTACGCAGGCCAGAAGACAGCTGATGTTAAAAAAAAGATTCGTGATGATATGATTGCTCGTAATGAAGCTGATAAATATGTTGAGCCGGAACGAAAAGTAATATCACGTTCGGGTGACGAATGCGTAGTTGCTTTATGTGATCAGTGGTAAAGTTTTAGATCTGCCACCAAACATTTTCTTGAGATAATGTTTTTTATTTTTTTGATTTCAAGCCACATTATATTTCACTTGACACTATTTGTTTTTTTTTTTTTTTCAGATTTGGTTAATTAGTAGCATTTGACTTCTAATTTAGAAAGCCGAAGAGAGTCGGTAAAAATGAATTTGCTACTAAGTTGTTTCCTTGCATGGGAGCAAAATATTATATTTTTGCCCAACTGTGACCTTATGTTCTGTGGTTCTGTCACCTACGGGTAAAATTAGCATGTTTTAGGTTCAAAAAAGCAGAGTTATAAATCCTGAAATAAGTCCAAGTTGTACAAAGAATTTAGAGGTTTTTTTGTCTCATTAAGCCACCGACTTTCAACCACAGTCTCCGGTTTTTTAAATTTGGAAGCAGAGTCCAATTTTCGCTGAAAATTGAGAAAGTCTAGGGTATCATCTGAAAAAACTTTACGATTTGACGGGGAATTGCTCATTTAGTAGAAATTTGTAATATTTTAGGTATCTCAATTATGGGGACAAAGAATGGAAAGAAGAAACTAAACAAGCGTTGTCAAAGTTAAATACTTATTCAGATGAGGTAGTTTGGTTTTGGATGTCTTCTATTTCGTTAATGACTGCGGTGTTGTTCCGATTATGTAGGTAGTCTTAAGGTGAGACGAAACCTAGAGGCGACAATTGATTGGCTCCATGAATATGCTTGCTCTCGTTCATACGGTTTGGGTACAAAATTGCCGTGGGATCGACAGTATTTGATTGAGTCACTTTCTGACTCCACCATCTATAACGCTTATTATACAGTCGCGCATCTTCTGCAAAGTGATATTGAAGGTCAGAAAGCTGGTCCCCTTGGAGTCAGGTGAAATATAAAGTTAAATTTCTGTGACACATTAAAAGTGAGAGGTATTTTCTGTCTGACGTTGAAATGGTTGAATGTTAAGAGACTGCTTGGTCTTTTAAGTTAGGCTTTGACATAAATCTAGAAAACAGGCCTTTATGTAGATTCTTTGAGGAAATAATTAGTTCACGAGTCTCTTGCAAGCACTATTGTTAAAATTTTTGTAAGATTTTTCTTTTCATTTTCTTTTCAGTCTGTTGAATCAAGTACTTTTTGTTGCTTTACCAAAAAAATTTTTGGTTAGGTAAACTGGACAGGAAATTGCTCGTAAAAAAACCGTTTCTTCAAACAGCATTGTACATTATATAATTTTTTGACGGAACAAGGCTTTGTACAATTTTGATGAAGGCTTAAAAATTTTTTAGAGCTTCTGAAATGGAAGATGCTTGTTGGGATTATGTATTTTTGAATAAAGCTTACGATTGCTCTAAAATGTCAGTTCCTGAAGAGAAACTTGCCAAATTACGAAAGGAGTTTTTGTACTGGTAAACATTTACATTTGAGCGCCACCTGTTCGTTCGTTTGCCAGAAAATTTTTAAACGTCTGAAATCTTAGTTGTCTTTCAGAATGGAGATACCAGGCCTCTAATTGGGTGGGTTTTTTTGGTAGAGAAGCCAAGTACATCAATAAAAGCGTATAGGAAGGTTCTTCGTTGGTGCATCTTGTGAAAAGTGTGCTTGGGGGCTCTATTCTGAAAGGACGCAAAAATCTTCTATCAATTGCTTATCAAGTACTTTTTCAGGTACCCAGTTGATATGCGGGCATCAGGTAAAGACTTGATTCAGAATCATCTTACCTTTTACCTGTTTAATCATGTTGCAATTTGGAAGGGTCTTCCGCAGTTTTGGCCTGCAGGCATTCGCGCCAATGGTCACCTGCTGCTTAATAATGAAAAGGTTTCTGATAATTTCTATTCTTGATATTCACATTTTGTTCCAGAAACTTTCTAAGCTTATTTCAGTCTATTTAGATGTCTAAACACACTGGGAACTTCATGACGTTATTCGAAGCTGTTAAGACATTTTCTGCTGACGGGATGCGCCTATCCTTAGCTGTAAGACTGTTTATAGACTGTTTATTCTTATGGGCGCTTGTATGTGCAGCATAATGTTCATAGCCGAAGTGTTATTTCTCCGTTTAATTTTTTTCTAGGACGCTGGGGACTTTGTGGAAGACGCTAATTTCGTTTACAGTATGGCAGACGCTGGGGTTTTAAGGCTTCACAATCTGATTGCTTGGGTGCAAGAAATGGTGTTACTTCGTCAACAAAATGGATTTAGATTAGACTCAAAGAGTTCCTTTGCCGACCGCGTTTTCGAAAATGCTATGAATAAAGCAATTTCAGTCACAGCATCAAATTACAAGCAGACTTTTTTCAAGGAAGCTTTAAGGACGGGGTTTTTTGAATATCAGGTCTTGCTTTTCCGTTCGAAAAATTTTTTT